CTGATTTAAATCCTATTGAGCACCTCTGGAACCTGCTTAAAAAGAAACTTTTAGAGCTCTATCCAGAGCTCTTTCTAGGCGGCAGATCACAGATTGACTGGACGCAATTTAGGGAGAGTATTCAAGCTGCTTGGTGGGCTATTCCTCAGGAGTGCATAGATCGCCTTATTCGCTCTATGCCACGCAGACTTCAGGCTGTACGCCTAGCACGTGGCTGGTATACAAAGTATTGACATGGGGAATCCATATAATCAACTTGTAGATTGATATCATTTAAATTGGTTGAGAAAATCGAGTTTGAATTCATTGCATTTTTTGCCGAAATGGCGGGTGTAGTCAGACTTTTGACCCCTAAGTTTACCAAAGTTCACAATATGCCCCTATTCCTGGCAACTTCGATCGTACACCTACACCTTCTGCACTAAGCCCTTCACCCGACCATATTGAGTGTACTTCTCCTTCGTAGCCATCACAGTCAGATCATCTAGGATTTGTCCCAGTGGCTGAGTGGGACGAGGGAAGGCTATATGATGAACAGCCTCAACCTGCATCCACTACTCTATAGAATGGAGGGTTAAGCTCAACAATCGCACCCTGCCCAAAGACACAGAACCAGACTTGGTTCTAGCTCCTAGTTTATATTGGCGATTGTTTTTGAAACAAAAGCTTGAAAACTTTGTTCTTCGGAAAACACCGCAACCGACCAGTGAGATCAGATGACACTACTATTTCCGTATGAATAAATGATCGTTCCCAGTGTGATCTGAATAAACGGCTTGAAGGCACTGACATTGATTGGACAGCTGTAGAGAAGCAGCTCTTGATGTGGGGAAATCTGTTTCGCCTAGGCAAGAGGCTCAGGATTAATATTACCTTTAACTATATAGAGGACAGCCAACAATCCCCATCTAGGAGGGGTGAGAAGAGAGGTCCTTCATCTCTGACCCAGAGAATGCTTGCCGTTCAAGAGGCTCAGGTTGATGCTGAATCTATTTCTGGGCAGCCTTCAGCATAGCGGGGTGTATATAAGCTCATGCGTTGTTCCTCGCCTTCATGCCATTAAGGGGAATTCTGCTGGCAGGATTCCCATAGCAAAAAGCATTACAGACTTGCGTCACATCACTTGACGAGTCTCGTCAAGCGCGTGAAGAGGGGCGGTGTCCTAGAGACCCATGATGATGTCCCCGACGCGATTCGTAAAGAGCTATATGCTGAGGAGCAGCTAAGACTCGCAAAGCGAAAGCCAAGGGATAGCAATCCCCTTGTGACCAACAACCCCTATCCTATAAATATTAATCTTTTACATACCCAGTCTCCCCACACATCTATACAACAACTCCAACACTAGCTATGCCCTCACCCCCAAATAATCATACCCTTGAATTCCCCAAGTTCACTGGTCCTCGGGATGAAGCTGTGAAGGCCTACAGCAAGTGGCAGGAATCGAATGTTATTGACGTGGTTCTCAAGGAGGACTCTTGAAAGGCACGCGATGTCGCACTGGCAAACGGCCTTGATCTTCAGCAGGTCTACAATAGTCAGGCGCCCAGACTTCTACATCAAAAACGGCGTAAAGTTAGACATCGCACGGCGTTTTGTCAGCGACATCACGGAATGGCTCGAACAACGTGTGGAAATCCTAGATAACAACTAAGGGAATCTTACCAGAAATGCATACAGGAGCATACAGTACAAATCTTTCTATGCATGGCTTTGTTGTTTATAGCCCGATTACTCTTTCTTAACTTTCCTTTTCCTTTTTCTTGCATTGCTATGTCATGTATGTATTCACTTGTTGAGTGCCCTTAGAGAAGCCTTAATACTTGTATAATGGTACAGTATACGACGCCTGTCAGTCGTCTTTGTGAAAGGCCAATAAGCCCAAATGACTTGCCATAATTGATTGGGCATTATGTTACTCCCTGTGTTCTATACGAGGCTAGACCAGATAAAATAGTGCTTCAGATACGGAATAAATTCCGTATAAGGACCAGTTTGATTGGTGATTAATCTGATGTTTAAATTGTGTATAAACCGTTAGCTTTACAATAGTAGTGAGACAACAATCAATCTTCCTTTGAATCACAACAAATATAAGTCCAAATTCGTTGATCACTTCCTTTGAGCTTCGTTATCAACTACCTCCCCATGCGCTGACCCGATTGATTGTATGGGTGCTTCGAGACCTGGGTTGGCATTTCCTGAAATCCTTGGATTGGAAGAGTGGTCCCCTGCTAGCGGCCCAACTGATAGGCCGTATAGAAGAGATTGTAGAGTTGGGGCATTGGTGTTTTGTGATTGTGCCTGAGCTGCTTGAAGGGTAAGCGCGAGATTCTGCGCCTGGGAATCTCTAAGCAGTTCCTGAAGTGTTTGTGGAGTGTGAACCCCAGCAGCCATAATGGCGCCTAATCCAGCCTCATTTTCCGACACGTTCAAGCTGAACTGTGGCTGAGAAGTATCCGTACCAAAGATTGTGCGGGTCCCTTGGCCAGCTCGGTTACTCTCAACAACAACTTTGGGGAGGGTAGTATCCGCGACCTGCTGAGCCCATTCAATGCTCTTAAGACTACCCAGTAGTCGAGCCTGATCAGCTTGAAAAGGTTCTCGGCTCGAACTATGTACGGATTCGATAGCTTCACGTATTTGATGTAAAAGATCTTCCAGATCTTCTTTGGTACCGCGGATTGAGTCTTTAAGATCATTCAATGATTCCTGCGTAATACCGTGATTTCGCCTAGTGGAGTTAGCAGCAGTATGATAATAAGTCACTTGCCTGCTTACATGTTGATTGACGCAAATGTGATACTGAGGGTGGATTTATAGCTGTTGAGTCGTTTTGTCATGTCCTCAAAACTCTTGCCATGGTATTTCATGTTAAGCCAATCTCGAACACTATCCCGCCCTTCTGCTAAGTGTTTCGTGCAGGCCTCAAGTGTTTCACGCATTTCTTGACATATCATCAAACAACACTCTAACGGGTTTTGAAGAGGCTCCAGTCTCTGGACTTCATCCGATCCTTCTACATGTGTGCGGATCGACCCGAGGATGGTGGTAAGAGAGTTGAGCTCATCTTGAAGATCTTTGATGGTTTTTCGCTGGGTCCTAAAACTGGAAACCGCCTCATGTAGTGATTTACTCGTGTCGTACGCGAAAATCGTCAGACCTAGAATAGCAGATGCTAATCCAACTGCTTCAGCCATTTTAGACACTTGTGTTTTCTTGTTGGAGGCGGTGTGATAGATAAAATTAGACAAGATGAGAGGCCAAATGGCAGCTTCTTATGTTCACAGCTGTGCCCCGCATCTGGGACACCCTTGTCAAAGACAGACATTGTGTCATGCTATTATTGGTCACAATTTCTAATTCAGCTGCGCCGCTTATAGGAACCCGCCGCCTCTCATCTTCCGCCTGTACCTGAACATTTCTTCTCTGATCAAACGATCGCGAGCAGCTTTCAGTGGTAACAAGACACAGGCCCTCGGAATAAAATGTCTATAGTAAGATAGTGCACCGTTCAACTGCATTTTATATGAAACTAATTCTGATTATATGCAAGGGCTACGACAATGTCGAATCACATTAATATAAAGGGTAATATTGCCCAGCAAGGGGCTACCCAAGTCAATAATGTTAATTTCAACATCGGTATAGTCTAAATTGACTAATATAGCGTTCGTATAACTAACCAATGGGAATTTATAGCACATACCACTGAAGATATCGATCGCCTCTGCCTCCGTACTCTGCGATGCCCCGACTCCCTGATTGTCAAACATCGGCTGAAAGAGAATAAGGACAAGTTACTTCCCCAATCGATCGAGTGGATTCTCCAAGACTCAAAATATATGAGTTGGCAAGATGGTGACGAACTTTGCCTCCTTTGGATTAAAGGGGGCGCCGGTAAAGGGAAGACTATGATATCAATTGGTATTATTGAGAGGCTTCCGCTACCCCAAGATGGTTCGACAGTGGTAACATACTTTTTCTGCCAAAATGCCGATTATGAGCTTAATACCATCGAAGCAATTATCAAAGGCCTAATTCTGCAATTAGTCAATCAGAAAGAAGGTCTCAAGAAGTGTTTGCGAAACCGCTGGGACAATATGAAGAATTGCTATATCGAAGATGTTACGTCGTGGCGAACACTCTGGGATATTCTTTTGGAGATGCTATACCAGTGCGATTGCCGGAAGGTATACATTATTGTGGATGCGCTGGATGAGTGCCAAGATGATGGCATGGCTGATTTTTTGAAACTTATTGTTCGAAATGGACTTGATCAACCTGCGAGAATTAAATGGTTGCTGACAAGTCGACCGTTGGATAGTGCCCAGCGGGAATTGTTAGCTGGACGTGAACAGGTACAAGTTAGCCTGGAGCTCAACTCGAAACATGTCTCGGAAGCTGTGAAAAATTATATCACGGAAAAGGTACAGGAGCTCGATCGTCGTGCCGGATATGGAGAACAATTGAAAGGAGACATTGAGGCTAAACTTACTTTAAAAGCCGAAGACACATTTTTATGGGTAAGCTTGGTATGCAAGGAGCTTGAGAGTGTTCGCCGAGATATGGCCTTGACCACAATTGAAAACTTTCCACCGGGTCTGCAGCCTTTCTATGACCAAATATTCCATCAGCTCAGCGAGGGCGAGCAAGCTGATGTAAAAAGGTATATGCGGCTGCTCAAGGTGATGATGCTGGTATATCGACCTTTAAATATAGAGGAAGTTGGTAGTGTGACTGGTCTAACTGAAGAAGAGGACACTATTCAGGTGTTAGTTGACCAGTGTGCTTCATTCATCAGAATGCGTGAAAATAAGATCGAGTTTGTTCACCAGTCTGCTCGAGATTACTTAGCAGGGACAGATGGACAATCTATACTCGACTCACATGGACACTACGGACATGAGGAAATAGTACAGAATTGTCTGTCTTTCTTACTCAAGTATCTCAAAGTCAACCTAATTGGGTTAGCGCAACCTGATTCAACCAGAGAATCTTTGAAAACAGAGGAACAAAAGCGACAGATTGTTGTACTGGATAGTGTAAGCTATGCAGCTACTTTCTGGGTGCAACATTTTGAGGACACTGTGATAATAGAGGGAGTGCGCAGAAAGGAAGGTGTTGTTAGCACATTCCTCGATAGAAGGTTACTGGAATGGCTGGAATGTCTGAGTCTTTTGGACAGTCTACCACAGGCTGTTGGTGCGCTAAGAGCGCTAACAAATGCAGTGCAGGTCGGTATTAAATACTTACTTGATGCCTAGTTTTCTTGCTAATAAGCCTGTCAAAGAACAACAATTCAGTTTTGATGCTTCTGCAGGATGCTACTCGATTTTTATTACGGCACTACCAAGTTCTGGCCAATTGGCCATTACAGATCTACAGGTCTGCCCTTATCTTTAGTCCTGAATCAAGTGTTGTGAAGAAGAAAAATGCAGACAAAATTCCAAAATGGTTAAGAAAGACTCCTCGCATGGAAGAGACTTGGGCGTCGTTGATACAGACACTGGCGGGCCATGCAGGCTCGGTCACAGCGGTCGCCTTCTCACCGGATGGGCGACAGATCGCATCTGGCTCCGACGATGGAACTGTCAAGCTCTGGGATACCGCCAGCGGTGAACTGCAGAAGACACTGGCCGGCCATTCAGACTCGGTCAGAGCGGTCGCCTTCTCACCGGATAAGCGACAGATCGCATCTGGCTCCCACGATGGAACTGTCAAGCTCTGGGATAC